CGGTCTTTTGAGGGGCTTGCACGTTTTCGTGATATGTCAGAAACTAGGGAATAAAGTGGACAGCGACTGGCATGCTTCGATAAGTGGTCTAACGAGCGATCATTGAAACGTGCACGATGTCACTCTCCACGTGGCATGACACGTGTACATTAGCTGTGAAACTGTATTTTGCCGATTTCGTCCATTTTTACGCTTTACGCGGGATGTCCGCTCTTATGGCGCGTAGTAACACGAGACTAGCATGCTGCGATAGGCCATTGAACGGGAAATCCCGTGGTCACATGTGTCACAAGTGCGGCGTGGCATGTTGCACGTGTCGGGCACACACGAGCCAGGAAGATGGCTTTTGCTTTTTTCCACGGGTTTACACGCTTTGTGCCCCATCTCGGCACTCAGGGCACGGAGGTACTGGGGAGTGGCATGCATTTCTAAGAAATCGAATAGATAATGGCGTTTCATGAATTGTCATGTCGAACGTGCTGTATGGATTGATGGGGAATCGGACAAACCATCACGTGGTATAGATTGTAGCGCCACGTATGCACGAGCCAGAAAAATCGATTTGGCCGCTGCCGACCGTCTTCACTGTCCGCTACAATACAATGCCGTTGAATGCGACGGTAGCGCGTGCTGCCATCATTCAAAGGTGGACAGTTGATGAAAGTGGCAGCAATCAGCGGTCACGTCCCAGGATCAATCACCGGTCCCATGGAATAGGTTTGCCTGTGTTGCAGAGAGGGCATGCCAAATGCGCTCTCTCCTGCCGGCGGCTGCTAGAGACCGCCGGTACCGCGCGTGGCCTGCGCCCGAGTGTTTTTCAAACTTACCGCGATATATCGGCAACCAGGGCACCTAGGACCACGATTCCAACTGCAACAGATGCATAATTAAAATTTCTATTTCTTTGCATAGTGCAGTGAAGCAAGCGCGCAAGCGCTTGTCATTAATTAATTCACATATCTTCCTTCAGAACAAAAAGCTCTGCTACGTGTCATTACGCCCTTCGCCGCCTTCATCCAGACATGTTCTTTTTCAAGCCAATCAAACAGTCCTGACAAGGCCAGACGCCGGATGCGTAGGAGTCGCGCTGCTCGGAAATAGCTCCAGTCGCAACTGGCGCAGTTCCGGTGCTGTCTTGTGACGGCCTAGATAGTGAGAAGATCCTCTGGCCCCGCACGTGGCAGCGCCCAGGCGCGCAGTCAGATCCTTGGCAAGGGGGGGGGGGGGCGGGGCACAGGGCTGACAAAGGGCCTCTGATAGTAAAAGACCCCCCCAAATATAGCTGGATACGGCCAATTTTTTATGAGGGGATGTTTTCCTTGCTGTTTTTTACTTTTACCTTTTAAAACTGGAATGGAGTCAACACTACCGTGACCGGCATTCCACCGTGAAGCCGTGACCGACGGTTGGCGAAAATGATGACGCATCTGAAACAGTCACATCTGAACGCTTTATAACATCAAATCATGCATTTAGAAAGCATTCCTGGCGTATATTCCAATTGTGCGGTCTCAGATTGGTGATAAAAATGGGTTGGCCTTTGCAGCGCCGCGAAGTGGTGCTGGTGGTAGAACTGACAGAGAAGAGGAAAAACCTCTATTTGTCGTGATGCTGTAATTGTTTATCTGTCCAGAGGACAACCCGAAAGTGGTTAGAACGATACGCCCAGTCTAATTTCTGAACGATACGAATTACTTCTTGAGAACATTCGGTCTAATTGTTTTACAACGGTCGCTCTCACGCGCACGGTGCCCGCTACTTGTGTTTCTTGCTGTGGCCACCGCCGTTCAGGGTTACGGAAACTGCAGCCCAGCCGGAAACTGCAGGGACATCGCTGTCCCTGCTACTGAGATTGTGGGCGCGCAGGCTTAACCGTTTCGATGTAATTTGTTTCATTGGTCGATTTTGCAAAGGTATGAACGTTTTCAGGCAAATATGGGATGACACTGCTTGTTTTTAGCCCATTTCGACCCGCTCTATTTAACACTAATAGACCCATTATTTCTTTCCGGGAAAGGGACCCTCTTGGTTAAAACACTAAGGGGCACAGTGTTGTTCCCGGTCAAGGGCTGAAGGGCCATTCCGTTTCACCACGGGGTGTCTTCCGGCTGCCCTTTTGACGACGCGGGGCGGGATCCCCTGATCGATCCGGAGGCCCTTAGAGGGATACATTATATCACATTGGTATCATTTATACTCACATGGCGTTTACATTGGTATCACATATAGATAACGGTAAACTTTTTAAGTGGATAAGACTGCTCTGGACAGTACAATCCTGTTGAGGAAATATGTTCTTCAGTGCGTCATTTTTTATTACATCATACCTTGCACAATATCGATTGAGAGGCAACTGACCGCCGTTATCTCTGGGAATCGCGCTCACGAACGCCAGATATGAACGCCTCGACAATTGTATTATTATTGGCCCTGATGTCCGCATGGCTCATGGAATGGCAGGATTTCAATGACGTTTTATGGCTTCATGAATGCCAAGGTGACTTTGAAATGCTCTCCCCGATATACCTTTCCGCATTTTCGCGGGCGTGCAGCTCAAAAGAGACCAGTCCGAAGGTCTCCCCTCCATGAGCGGGAGACCTACGGACTCGCCCAGTTGATTTTGGATCGACGCAGGAGCCTTCACTGAAGCAACAACATTCCTGATGGCCACAGAGGATTCAATTATTGGCACATTTGGCACATTGGCACAACTTCAGTTTGGGTTAACGGGCCAATGATGGAATTGGGTTAGAGAGCCCACCGTTCGGTAGTGGGTGCTCTGACTAGCACAGGACCCTTCCATTGCCTCTATGTGGGCACTCATTATAAAATATCATGTTTCTTTCCTTGTCAGGGGGCCCCGACCAACTCAAAGAGGCCCGCTGTTATTCGGAGTCCTGTCGTCGTCCCTGTTGAGTGACTTTTCCCCTGACTGTCTCGAGGCCTCTTATTAACACAGAATGCCCTGTTTCTCAAACTCAAAGCTCTCTGACTGTCATTTGAGGGTCCGCCGCCACAGACCGGGGCGCCTTAATAAGACTTTGACCAATCCTTCGTGCCCTTAGATGCTCCAATCAGGTTCTTGATCGTCGCACCCGGTGAGCCTTCCAGGTTCTTCGGGCCTCCTCGAACAATGCCTCTGGCTGACTTGGAGCCCCTTGCCAACACAGGGCACTGTAGGTCCCTGTGAGACGCTGGAACCCTGACCAATGTAAATAAGTGATTCCGGCTTTGCCTCTGTCATTTGCCCAGGCCCATGCCGCCACGGAGCCGACTGTGTGTCACTGCTGGTGTCTGGCCGACATATGGGCCTTGATCAACTCAGAGGCTCCTGATCAGCGCACGGGGCCCTCTGGCTGGCATTAGATTGCCCGACCCTGCGGGCGGGAGCCCCTGAATACAACCTTCCAGGCCCCTCGAGCCGTCAAATCGGACCCTTTACCGCAAGTCCCCAGCTGCCCTTCGTATCCTCGAAATGTATGGGGAGGGCATGTGCTCTCTGTGCCTCCCCGTGCCTGCGCTATTGGCGGCACCTCAAGGTAGTCTATTTGCCACTCGCGACATTCTACAGTCGCACGACAGACCCGTGACTTCGTCACAGATGCCTCCTGCGTCTGTATGTGTGTAAATATATGTGCCAGTTGCTTTGCGACGAGCGAAACAGGCCATGCTTCACGGCAAACGTGACCCACGTGCGATCAACGTCGTTGCTGCCGATGCCGATGGGCGGCTATGATTGCGCGTTACAGTGCATCCGGTTGTAGGCCACTACACTGAGTTATGGCCGAAGCCTTCATTTACGGTGCATCGGCCCATGGGCTGCAGCACCGCAGCGAACGTCTGACTGTGACGCCTTCGTCAGCAATGAAGCCTATCGTGAGTCACTGCAGTAGGCTAGTGTGTAGGCCTCCATGGATGATTTATGTTCTAGAGCATTTTCAATGCATTACAGAGAAATTCACGAGGAAATGTAACGTGAAAATGCGCCACAATTCGAGCGAAAAGTGGGCAGGTTTCCCGGTATAAGTCTGGTGGTCGGAACAGGCACTACAAGTTTGTAATACAGCCGCTAGGACCAACTAGACCCGGATCGGGGCGCCAGGGTAGCGCAGCAGGGACGGGGGGCGTCAAGCGTGGCAGGTTTTGTGACAGCAGTCATCTGAATCTATTTTCGAAGCCATTAGCCAGCAATGCTCCCGTGACCCCGGGTGATCTTTGCCTCAGGCATATTCAACGTGTGCTTGATTTAGGTTGGAATGCATTCCGAATGCGATTCAAAGCGAATGAAACCGAGTGAAATCATTGGCTGTGTAGAACTGGAAATGAATCCGAATCTGACTCCAATGCAAAACAAGTTTGTAGAGAAAAAATAAAGTTAGTAAATTTATTGCGTGCTATGAAAAGAAGTAGTGGAAAGGCATTATAATGTATACATATTACACAATATGAACGTAGTTATTGCGTGTCTCGAAAGTGCGTTAGATGATAGTGTATGACATGTCGTAAGGTATTCGTAATGGTTGATGGTTGGTCTGCGTGCCGTCTAGAGTCCGTGTCGTAAAAAGCGCGGTTTCAAATGGCAACTTGTCTACACAACGCTACGTTTGCCACCCACGGCTATGCAACTTTGATCATAGTGCAAATGGTATGCCGGACGCTATTCCCACTAAATCCAGCTCATAAACAACACGATGTCTACAACACTACTTAAAACAAATACTCCAGATGTATATGGTTCAAACATGCATCATTCAAGCCATATTCACAACTCACATCCATGTCTAGATCCTGAATGCAAGATGCACCAATTGAGTGAGAACTGAACTGGGGATGTGGTTTGTTCTGACGATTATTGCAGTGCATAACGCCGTATTATAAAAAAATAAAGTATCCAGGCACCCGTTCCTCGGGAAGGTCAGCACAGACATCGGCTGATCACACATATTAGCTTGAGACGTTTGTGATCACGGGCAATCATCGGACGATGCACGGAACTCCGATTATCGTGGAATGCATTTATACGAAAAGCACAGAACCACATTCACATACGCCTGCACCACACCCGCTAAGGCATCCTGTACGCACAACTGCCTTCAACATCAAAAGACAGAGACTTTTACCGATTACTGAAATCTGTCCAGGTCAGAGCCACAGTTCGTCGGGCCGGCCGCCTGACTGGACACACACTACACATGCATTAGCTCGTCACCCCGGATTCCTTGGAACGGGAATTACAACTGGGTGGCTTGACTAGAGGTCGAAAGCCAGCGAAAAGCATCCTATCACCGCTCATCAGACTCGGTAGCGTCCTATCACCGCCCATCAGACTCGGCAGTCTGCAGTCTGGCGTTCGACCGATCCAACACCGGGGAACCTCTTAGCGCTTGACTTTTGCTAGGCTTAGGCCCGAGGGCGCAGTTCCGCGAGATGAGTTGGTGAGGCGCTAAGCGAGCGTTTAATCACCATGTCTAAAAACGTACATCCTAGCGGTTTGAACAATATAACTTCAGGGAACTGGCTAAAAAGTTCAAGAAAATGAAAGAAGAACTGAGTTGAGGAAGAGGCCCAGGGCTAGCAACTGCCCCGGAAACTTCACTTCTAGTTTGGCCCATCTCAAGCGTCGCAAGACGAACACTACACGCGCTTCACAGACAGGCGGACCCAGGGTGGACCAACGGACGCCCTTCACGCCAGACTAGGTTTGGAGACGGTAAGCGACTGCATCAGCAGTAGCATGTCCTCGCGGCTGAAGGGGCACGAGCTGAACATCTCGTGGCAGCTGGAACTGGGCGAGTCGCGCATCAGCCGGCCCATGTGCGCCGCGTACGTGTACTGGTAGGCGGCGCTGTCCGGTAGCTCCAGGGTGAACCGTCTGCGGGCACAGACGGGCGTCAAAGGCGCCGCAAGCAGCGCCGCACGCTGGACTCTGCTCAGCCTGGGCCGACCGGGAATGATAAACGGTCAGTAAAGGAGATCTGCTGACCGATCTGACTGATCGATCTGCTGACCACAGACATCAGTGGAAACTACGGTACGGAGGTACGGAGGTGTGCAGCGGCCAAACCTGCTCTCATAGGACTAAACCAGACGCCAGCATCTGACCATCGAAAGATGTTCGTTGACCTTTCTCGGCATTCTATCCCCGTTACTGCAGGCAACTGCTTTCCACGCCATTTTTTTCAGACGCCAGCTGTCCACGCGGCAAAAGACAAACGCCTTAAAGTCTCTTCGAATAACACCGTCAGCTTGAGCTGAATTAGCCACTTGCGTGTCTGGCGGTACGCGGCAGGGTCATCTCGTTCTCACCTGTACATAACGTTTCGTCCGTCCAACCGGTCTCACCTTAGCGTGTTGGCAACGTTTTTCTCGACGTCGCCGGCCTTGGCCAGCTCGTGGTCTTCCTGCATGTGCACTTCACAGATGAAACGCTGCATGCAGGCCGGCTTGCTCTGGCGCCACGAGGAGGCGGAGGCCATGGCTGCACAGCGAGGGCAGACAGACGTGTGGGCGACGTGTGGCAGCAGCGTTCGGGCCCACCTACCATTGCAGCACACTGCCGCTCGCACGGCGCAGTTGCTGCAGGCACAACTTCCCAACAGACATCAGCACAGCACCTGAGTCTTTTTCAAGACGCGTCGTCGCAGCATAACCCCTTTTCCAAGACGCATCGTCTCAGCCCAAGCCTTTTCCGAGACGCGTTGTCACAGCATGAGCTTCTCCAAGACACATCGTGACAGCATGACCTTTCTCAAAAAACGTCGTCACAGCATTAACCGTTTCCCAAGACACATCGTCACAGGACAAGGCGCTCTTATCATGACACATTCCACAGCTCACACACTCACCACACTGACGCGCTGTCTCACAAAACATATCTCAGCAACACCCCCATTGCCCACAGCGCATTGCCACGGCAAACAGGGTTTCTCACGCCACATGGTGACGTCACACATGCGCCCGGCCGGCACATAGCGGTGCCGGTACTGTGCAACCGGCACGGCGCCAGCCATCCCATCCCAGCCATGGCGAGCTCAGCCATGCTGGGATGGGGTGGCAGTACATGGATACATGGAAGGCTTCAGCGCATTATTACGCCGGCTGTTGTCATCAATATACTTGCCGCTCTACGGTCGTCTCACTGGCCTTTGCATATGTTCTCATATGATCTGAGTAATGCAAGTAGGCGCTAAACATGGACCACCATAATGCTGAGCGCTCCTATTCACACATCGACTTCCACAAAGCAAAGCACATTCCTGCCGATATTGCAGCGGCGCTCGCAAAAAGTCTCAACACCTTCGCGTCGCCTCAGTACAAGCCGTCGCCATGGCAACCCGACCACGCCACTCACATTGCCTGTCGCTGCGTCTCCGATCCTTCAGCAGGCGGTACAGCTGGGCCGTGGCCTCGATGTCGCGCACGGTGGGCGTGGCCTTGTCGTCGGCGCCCGGGGGTGTCCGGTGGGGCTTCCGCTCCGGGGGCTCCGTGGCCGGGTGAGGCCCTGGGGACACAGCCCGGGGCGTCACCAGGGCAGCGTGCCGTGCAAGCAGCGATTAGGGTACTCAGCTGCACTAGTGGACACGATTCGCGGTCGCTGTGCGTGACACTACAGCTTCTTTGCGCTCACAGTATGCGGAACAGATTACTTCTTGGTCGGAATGCGTAAATATGAAAACATTATGTGGGTTATGACACTATTTCTGAAGCAAGGGAATAATTTGCGAATCACTTAGGCTTTCCACTTTACCCTGATGGATTTGGCTAACGAATCCATCCATAGCGATCTTCCAAGGAACACCACAAGTGTTGTTCTGAAGGTTCTTACAAGCGTTCTAGCTCTAATGACGCCATTGTTCTAGTGTATAGTACGGAAGCCGGGCCACGGCTCTAGCGAGTCTTACCTCAGATGGCGAAAAAATACCAGCTTAAGCGCCTGAGCCCACCCCGGTCTTCGCGATTTCTAAAAGTCAATATCTTGACGACCAGTGGCACTAATCACAAGCACGATTCTCTAAAACGTTATACTGCCTACATGTTGTGGCATCCGCATTCAATCTGTATTTGATCTGGTTCACTGCAATGTGAGCCAAGTATAGCCTTGGCCATTCAACTGGCGTGAGAAATGTAGGATTTGATTATTGCGAAAAACGTCACACAGCGTATGTTGAGTCCAGCACCAGATCTTAACGGCTCGGCACAACAGTAAAACGAAGTTTGCTTGTTTGGCGGAGGAGACAAAGGGATGCACAGACACACGGTAGCGAGAAGTTCACTATGACAGAGTATTAGTCTCATAGAGTTTCGGCTAAAGACAAACATCATAGCTGGCAATCTTCCGGCGTTTGTTTTAGTTATTGTGGGTCTAAGGCCGCGTTGGATCTGGACATTCTGCAGCCCACCTTCCACACCCACATCTCAAAATGATATGTGAGTGTTCAGCCGTTTTTCAATCCGCTTGCCTGCTTGTGTTGTGCAGTGACAGGCAATGGTAACTTTATTCGTAGTGGAAGTGTATCGCTTCATATGTTTATCAGATCCATGGCTAAAACTCAATCTCACGCACCTATTCCGAGAAGAACTTTCGTTAACAAAGCGAGAGCTGCTACCCTTCTTTGAACTATTCTACCCCGCCTGACCCTTCTGCTAAGCCGTGGCTGCAGCCAGTCTCCGAAACTGAGGGGGACAGTCGCGATTATAGAGGTAAAGCCGGGACGTGCAAGGAGAGCCTGACCTAAAAAGACGGCACTTTGAATGGAAAAATATAAAAACTTGCATTAATGAGCCTAAGGCATTTTCGCTGGTTGGCTGAACAACAGGGATCATCTGCCGCAAAGTGACAGATCAATTCTAATTGCTATCTTAACGATGTCCTAACCGTTGCTTGACATGGTCGCTTTACCAATACCTCCTGGTGAACTGGAGGTCGGTGGTTACCTACAGCAAAGAACTCATCACAATTTTATAGGGCAATATATGCGAGCGCAACCTGCAGGAACAAAGTTTGTTAGCTCAGCTTCCCCGTGTGTGCCGCAAAGCAAAAGACCTTCCCGCGTGGCAGGAGGGGCGGGGGTGAAGGGGATATGGCACTCCCACTTTTTGTGAAATTTAGCATTGACGTTAAAAGGATGTGTGGAAAGAATCTACCTCAACAAAAGTTTTTACCCGCTCAGTTATTGTGCCGTTCTTACAGCCCTGCTCCCCCTGTTACATGAGCTGTTCGACAATCCGTCAGGAAGTATCGCCTGAGCTGAGAACCTGTATGCCCTGCTGTGGTGTTGGCTCTGGATATGGAGCCGGGCGCTGCACGGGCGCATATCGCACTGCTTTTTCTGTTATTTCTCTTTGGGGGGGGGGGGGGGGGGTAGGAGACAATGCGGCAGCCTTGCGTGATTTTCCAAACGCACCATCACTGCACGGCACTCCAGCGCCAGAAGGTACCGAATCAGAGCTTCTTCGCCTGGGATTTGTCACCAAATGCGGACAAACTCGTGCACTAATTGAGGCGGCAAAGGCAGCGTGTTTTGGCACCGATTGTGTTATGTTGTGTTCTAATGCGCTTTTTATCATTTGTTATTGTTTTCTTATATATATATATATATATATATATATATATATGGATTGTGCATTACATAAAGCGCAGACAAAGCGTCGTAGCCGGTGTTTTACCACCTTCAACTCAATCACTTGACGGGATCAATAGAGCTGTACGACCTCAGTCGTCTTCTTATGATGCAGTCTATTAAAATATATTTGTTACTGATTTATATGCCACGCTTCCCCCTCCACCCCACACGACCCGACCACAACACACCACGCTACACCACACCACACCCCTCTCCTCCCCTCCCCTCCCCTCCCCAACCCCCACCCCCTCCCCTACCTCCCCTCCCCTCCCCTCCCCTCTCCCCCCCAACCACACCCACAGTCGTCTAGCCGCGTGGTCTGTAAATATTCGGTCACGCTCTAACCTGGAATAGCTTGTCAATTTCGCACCCACGCGATGTCCGGCCGCCGCCAGCTGGCGTCCACCGACCGCCTTGTTTAATACTTTAAAAGGATATTCTTCTGTCACGCTTTCTCCTACAACTCGTCTGGCTGCATGGTCTGTAAATGCTCGGTCCGGCGGCCCCTCGCCGAGAATAGGCCCGTCCATTTCGCTCGCACCACGCGATGGCCGGCTCCGGCTAGCGAATGCAGCGCGGCCCCGTGGGCCGGCTCCCTGGTCTGCTCCGTGCCGTCCCGTCTCACAGCACACCCGGACCACGCCCACCCCGCGCTGCTGGCAGACTCAGGGTCAGCCGGTCTGCTCAGGGCCACGAGACCGGGCGCCGAGACGCCGGGACTGGGGAGACTGTGCGGCGCGCGCGCGCGCGCGCGTGTGTGTGTGTGTGTGTGTGTGTGTGTATGCGTGTGTGTGTGTGTGTGCGTGTGTGTGTGTGTGTGTGTGTGTGTGTGTGTGTGTGTGTGTGTGTGTGTGTGTGTGTGCGTGCACGGACCGCCGGGCTGAGATGGGTTTACGAGTGGCTGCTGACAGTCGCTGACCAGGCGGCAGTACGTGGCTCTCGGTCAGAACCGGTGAGGGCGCAAAGCGTGTGCACAGATGTGTTCAATGCTGTTTCGCGTCTGGGAGGCTACACAGGATATCGCATCGCACGCAATTGTATGCTGATAACCTATCGGGCATTAGGATGTCTACCATTTAGCATATCTTAGGATCATTAGGATAGTTACCAGCCTAAAGATAAGAAACGAAGCGAAAGATACGCGCGCGTTGGGTTTCATCTATAAGCGAGGCTTTGCTTGTGGCCCTTTGCTTTGTTAGCCCTTTGGGTGTCATTTAGGGATGCTCCACCTTGTGGAGCGCGTTGTTTTCCTCACGTACGGCAGCGATCCAACTAGATTCCGTTCAGTTACATGTCATCTACTTGAACAGTTGTCGCGCTTGCCACCTGAGAAAATGCGAAATAGGTTCCACTTTCCCTGACGGCCTTCTTGTGCCACGACCGGGGGCCAAGGTCGCGTGCAGCGTGTTACACAACACCATCACACTAAAGACATTCTCTCTCCATTTCACGTCCAGATCACCGCGAACAGCACAATACTCACGTGGTGGCACAAACTCCATCGGCTCCTGTTCCTTTTCCTCAGGCAGCTGGAGTGGCTGCGTCCTCTTGGGCTGCACGCGGTTCCTGTCACCAGCCTGCACATCTGGCACCACCCAGGAGGCCACCAGGCCCTCCAGCAGCCATCCGGAGGTCGCCGGCAAAGCGCAGAGCGCCACCAGCGCCGCCATCACCGTCCACTGCCGAGCCATTTTCACCTGCGTCTCATGTCCCCCTAACCCCCGCTTCCTGTTGATACCAGTCCTATCGACGCGCCGCACGTGCTCGCGCCACTCCAGCCAATGGCAAAGCACGCAAGGCCGCAGCCGGCGCGGCCAGCTGCGGGCTGAAAAGTGAAAGTGCCGCCCGCAGTGGAAGGCCAGTCTGGCGTCCGTGCTATGGGCAGCTACTGGAGTGCCACGGTTCGTAGTTACGTTACTCGGCCACGGCATGGCGTTCATCAACTCACGGACACCCCGAACAACAGAACTGTCGCGACGTATTTATTGGACAGAAAGAACCTTTGGAAAGCGTGACGAGAGAGCGATTGTAGGAACATGCTGGTATCAGCTACCCAATGCCTGACCTATTGTGTGTGAGCTTACCCAGGTACTTCCACTTAATGCAATTTGTGTTATTGACTTCGCTCATAGCATAAATGAAGCAGTTATTTCGAGCACCAAATGCATACACCACAGCTTTGAGGTTCTGGCAACGTTTTATGTATTACGTGTAGTGAGCAGATTTCCATCCTTCGCCCTGCCAAATCAGGACTTCAAATCAACCGTAATGTCCCACCTCAAATTTGCTGCCCTCAAGCTCACTTATAACTATTGATATGCTTTAAGTGGAAAAAGGCTGCTCTCGACGACATAATTTTTATATTTAGTAAATACGATGTTCAATAATATGTCATTGTTCGATTGCGTCGTCGTGCCCTGCACGACATTGACTGAGAGCCAATTGCCGGTCGCTATTTTTGAGAATCTTGCTCACGATCGCCAGATATGAACGATCCGACAATACAATTTTTGTTAACCTTGATCTCTGCATGGTCAGTGAAATGCCAGTAATTGAATGATTTTAACACACACCCCTTTTGACGCCAACCAATCTAAAATGCTGTAGCTACAGCAGCTAGTTTCGGCCCGGCCAGTCACACTTTTGACGCGGTGATCTCTGCAGCCACTCACCGCACCACATGGAATGCTCAGCGGTAGGCAGCACTTTTCTTTAGGTGTGTGATAATACTTTCAAGGCACCTAACTGCAGACCTTTGGCCATATGGTGTATTTGTGCAGCGTTGCACTGTAACCACCATTGTACATCACCGCCGATAGATATGGAAAATGTGAAGTTTTGTAATCGCGGGAAGAAAAAAAGACTGAAGAACATGAAAAGATGACATTCCAGGTCTCGGCGACCCCGTGGTGCAGTACCATGACACCAACTAATGTTTACGGAAACGCGAGAGAAGAACTGTGCTAGCCGAGCACTGTGTGCAGATGTCAGTGTAGATTCTCACAAGCAACCGTGCGCATACCTCGCACGCAGCCACTTCCCGTCGTTTTTAAGGACTGGGGTCAGGCCTCGACGATCAGCGGACGGCGACGTGAAGGCACCTGTGCGACGTGAGCGTCCGTATCGTGCACCAATCACTCGGTGGCGTCGACGCTGTCCGACCAATAGGCGCTCTGGTAGCGGGCGGGAAAGCCGTCACCTTTTCCAAAATCAGCCTCAAACGGATCTTGCGAGACCTCACCGCTTCGTTTAGGTCTGAGCCCTTTGCTGGACAGCTTGGTACATCTGTGGCATCCACGGCGGCTTTTCCTTAACCCTGTCCGTCCATGTGCATGATCACTTTTGCCTGAGATCGATACTTCGTAGCGCCAGGAGTGGAAACTTACTCACATCATACCTGTCCAGCCCCACTCTACAGTTATATCTGCGACGGTAGCCTGCAGCGCCGAAGTGGTACCGTTCTGAAAAGCGCTCCCCAAACATGTCTGTGCCTCGTCTTAACGGCCCTCACATCGACAAGTGAGAAATGTCGGCGATCAGTAACCGGGGCTACAGCTCTCAGACCTGTCAGTTCCCCGACGCGCCTTTTGATTGGGGTGACTTCCATGAGCACTCAAGCCAGCGAGTCAGCACAATGTTTTGTGATGTTTTATTGTTCATATAGATGACGCGCTGGTACAGGGTAGCATGAATGCTGACCGGGAGCTGACTGCCAGTACAGTGCTCGCCGTCACCGGAACCGACGGAAGACAGGCATCGGTGCGGGTTCGGAGCTCCAAAACACAGCGCGCCCGCTGCCCGCGCCGAAACACTCCGACGACGCCGTGTCAGCGTCACTATCGAAAATATACACAGCATCGACACGGGTATGGATGCACAGGCGCACGCTCACTCGCCGCGGCGTTGCACGGCGGCTCGCAACTCCGTCATTGACGCGTCGTGTCGCCATGGCAACGTCAGCTGACGCGTCGCAGTCGTTATTGCCGCTGAAATGGCTGAAATAGTAAACCTCAGCCTGGCGGGGTAGCGCGTCGCCACCCGCTGGCGGGCGTGTGATCGCTCCCGAGAAGAGACACCCGCAGGCCTGCTGAGCTCCGACGCGATCCGCTCAGCTGACAACCGCCGCAAGTGGCAGGGCTTCGTGGTGATACTACGCGGCGAATTCGACGACACAGTCACCGCCCGCCAGCCGTCCGGAGGACCGTCTAGACGGGATCATGGCTCCGCAGCTGCAGTGAACCTACGTCGTATCACAACTGGTGTGGAGGATGTGTGTCGGGCCGCCCGCGTCGCAGGGCATCTCTATCGTCCCAGAGGAGAAAAGCGCGCGCCCCATCGTCGGTAACTTGAGCCGCTCATATCTGACGGTCGGTTGCCGCATAGCTACTACGTATTTTCTGATACGCAGTTGAAAATGGAACAATTGTTGCAGCTTTGAAAAGGTGACACGGCGTAAAATTTCAGATATCCGACTTATTGTCGTTTGGGGTTCGGCACCTTGTGTTTGGAAACGAACCTGGAAGTGTCCAATGACGCACGGTTCTCTTCTTTGGAGAAGCAGGTCTATACTGGCGTCGGGCGACTGTGGTATGTTGGCATTGATTGGCGATCGGTGAGGTGGATCTGGACCAGATTTGAACCGCCGTGACGCGCCCGTATCCGATTCCATCAGATGCAGGCCGCCGCTCACGGGCTGCCGTCGGACAATGCCCACTGCCAGACATCCCTATCTGACGCCATGCACACGCTCTCAACACGGGACGGCCAACATGCAGCTATGGTCCATCGCGTCCCACCCGGACCCCACCGACCTCGCGCCTCGCTCGCGCCGCGTCCCACACCGTAGCGTGCGGGCCCCGGACTTCTGTCCCGCCGCGCTTTGGGCTCGGACATCCCTAGAGACGCGCGACGCGACAGCGTGGGGCGCGGGCCGCGCCGGCGGCAGCACATGACGAACCGGAGCTGCCCTGACGAGAGCTGGGAGCCCCGCCGAGACAGCCCGCCTTCACTCCCTCTCCGCCGTCACCTGAACCTACTCCTGGTCCGGCTCCGGCTCCAGCCCTGGTTCCAGTTCCGGCTCTGGTTCTGGTTCCAGCTCCGGCTCTGGCTCCAGCTCCAGTTCCAACTCCGACTCCAGCTCCGGCTCAGGCTCCAGCTCTGACTCAGGCTCGGGCTCCAGTTCCGGCTCGGGCTCAGGCTCCGCCTCCGGTTCCGGCTCCGTCTCCTGGTCGTCTCCCCGGTCACCAAGCGTCTCCTTCGATCCGGGGAGCGGAGACGGAGACTTGTCGCCCAGGTCCACCAGGCTGCCCTGTGGACACGACGAAGACGTTGACGGCAACGTGTTCGCGGAAGACGGGGGAAACAGTAGCAGACACGTCTCTTGCGGACATGACACGCGAAGGCAGCCGGGGTCTCTAGGTCCCTGTCATTATTGTCTCCATGGGCACCGTATGACTAAGGCAGTCCCCGCGCCCGAAAGCCAAAATCATCATCACCACCACTACTGTCTCCATGGGCGCCGGATGACTAAGGCAGTTCCTGCGCCCGAAAGCCAAAATCATCATCACCACCACTACTGTCTCCATGGGCGCCGGATGACTAAGGCAGTCCCCGCGCCCGAAAGCCAAAATCATCATCACCACCACTACTGTCTCCATGGGCACCGGATGACTAAGGCAGTTCCTGCGCCCGAAAGCCAAAATCATCATCACCACTACTACTGTCTCCATGGGCACCGGATGACTAAGGCAGTCCCCGCGCCCGAAAGCCAAAATCATCATCACCACCACTACTGTCTCCATGGGCGCCGGATGACTAAGGCAGTTCCTGCGCCCGAAAGCCAAAATCATCATCACCACCACTACTGTCTCCAAGGGCACCGGATGACTAAGGCAGTTCCTGCGCCCGAAAGCCAAAATCATCATCACCACCACTACTGTCTCCATGGGCGCCGGAAAACTAAGGCAGTTCCCGCGCCCGAAAGCCAAAATCATCATCACCACCACTACTGTCTCCATGGGCGCCGGATGACTAAGGCAGTCCCCGCGCCCGAAAGCCAAAATCATCATCACCACCACTACTGTCTCCATGGGCACCGGATGACTAAGGCAGTTCCTGCGCCCGAAAGCCAAAATCATCATCACCACCACTACTGTCTCCATGGGCACCGGATGACTAAGGCAGTTCCTGCGCCCGAAAGCCAGAATCATCATCACCACCACTACTGTCTCCATGGGCACCGGATGACTAAGGCAGTTCCTGCGCCCGAAAGCCAAAATCATCATCACCACCACTACTGTCTCCATGGCCACCGGATGACTAAGGCAGTTCCTGCGCCCGAAAGCCAAAATCATCATCCCCACCACTACTGTCTCCATGGGCACCGGATGACTAAGGCAGTTCCCGCGCCCGAAAGCCAAAATCATCATCACCACCACTACTGTCTCCATGGGCGCCGGATGACTAAGGCAGTTCCTGCGCCCGAAAGCCAAAATCATCATCACCACCACTACTGTCTCCATGGGCACCGGATGACTAAGGCAGTTCCTGCGCCCGAAAGCCAAAATCATCATCACCACCACTACTGTCTCCATGGGCACCGGATGACTAAGGCAGTTCCTGCGCCCGAAAGCCAAAATCATCATCACCACCACTACTGTCTCCATGGCCACCGGATGACTAAGGCAGTTCCTGCGCCCGAAAGCCAAAATCATCATCACCACCACTACCGTCTCCATGGGCGCCGGATGACTAAGGCAGTCCCCGCGCCCGAAAGCCAAAATCATCACCACCACCACTATCGTCTCCATTCCGGAGCGGCGGGGACAGCAGAGACAAACGGTCGCGTGCACCGAGAAGATGTGTCTTAGAACTTCAAGAAGGTATCTTGCGGAAACAGTTCGTGCAACGTGAACCAGGTGTCCTGCCTAGACTGCAGGCAACGGGAGACGGAAGCTCGGCAGAGACCACTTCTCATGAGGAAGGGTTCTGCGAGGCCGGCAGGATCATTGACATGCAGGCGTTCCGCGGGAACGTAAATACATCAGCAACGTAGGACGTTCTGCGAAGATGCTGAGTCGCATGACCCAGGAGTCGCTCTTAAGACCCAGCCGGCAAAGCTGGCATTGGTCTGGATTGGCAATGGACATAATACACCCTGTTCGACAGCAGCACTCGCTGCCCCGGCATTGATCCGTGATGGCCGAATGCCGTGCTTGGACCTCGAAATACGCACGCAATGGGGACGCGTAATACGATATTGAGCTCGCTCCCGAAAGGCGCAATGCAATGTTTCTGGCTGGTCTGAATGAATACGCTCGCACGGAGTCCCCAAGCTACAGTTAAAAAAGTCGCCACATCAGCATCTTCTTCACATCAGCAATACATGTCTTTATTTTATTACTTCCGCATTCATTCAATCCAGCGGGACATATGAGATTGATATTTCCAACAGTAGATAATAATTTCCTTTACAGGATTATCAACCATTTCGCGGCAGGATTGACCGCAAACAGTTTTCAAACAAATTCTAAGGATCTATAAACATCTTGAAGCTCGCTGACCAGCTCGTCATCCCTACACGTCTTATGAATCCCTCAACCATCCTAGAGGGTTATGCTCCTGAGTCCCTAACACTTGCAGCGATCTTTATGTCCATGTGCAGCCGGTCCCTGATGATGTGCTGGGATCGCTGGCACAGCCCGCTCCCAGGGCTGACATGGCATGATCACGAGCTTGAGTCGCCCCCCCCCCCCCCTTGAAACCCTGGTTAACACACCGAGATCCGTAACATGAGCAGCTCCGTTGCCTAACAGGGTCACCAGCATAACCCGCTACCCCAGCTGGCGTGCCGAAGCCGCTGGTATGCGCCGCTCACTGGCGGATGCACTTACGCTAGCATAGACCGCTTCTCCACTGGTCTGGCTGGGAAGAGATCGGTAGCATCACCTACTCCCCGGCCGGCTTACTCGCGATAGGATCGCTAGCATAAGCTATTTCCCGGCTGACGTGCGGGCTTCGCTAGCGTCGCCTGCCTCCCGGCCGGCCTGCCCGGGAACGGATCGCTAGCACAAGCTATTCCCCAGCTGACGTGCAGGCTTCGCTAGCGTCGCCTGCCTCCCGGCCGGCCTGCCCGGGAACGGATCGCTAGCACAAGCTATTCCCCAGCTGACGTGCAGGCTTCGCTAGCGTCGCCTGCCTCCCGGCCGGCCTGCCCGGGAACGGATCGCTGGTACAAGCTACTCCCCAGCTGACGTGCAGGCTTCGCTAGCGTCGCCTGCCTCCCGGCCGGCCTGCCCGGGAACGGATCGCTGGCACAAACTATTCCCCAGCTGACGTGCAGGCTTCGCTAGCGTCGCCTGCCTCCCGGCCGGCCTGCCCGAGAACGGATTGCTGGCATAAGCCGGCGTTCGCCGGCGGCAGTCTCTGATGGCCGGGGCCACGCAGCCGCCGGTCACGAAGCCCGGCCCGTCCGCACGAGCCGAGCTGCACGGCTATTTCAGGCGGCCATTAGCAGTACTTGTGAGGGCGCGGACTCAATCCGTGATGATGCTTGCATGCTGTGGGCGCTGGGGCCAGTGTGGGTGCAGTCGGCCATAATGGCTGTCGGGGGGACAACTAGGTTCATTGCCGCGACCGAAGGCGCAATACGCATTCCGTGTCCGTTAAGACTACATGTAGACGGACTTCTAACTCGCGGCCGAGGGGAGGGGTGCTTTGATTCCTCCGTGTTTTTACCATGAAGTTTCAAACGGTGACACCCAACGTGCGGAACTGTATACAATAGAGTATCCGTTTTTGGTGTCAAAAATAAGTAATGTTTTAATGTCATATGCATGTAGCGGATCAAAGTCAGGCCATGGTTGTTGGCAAAACCATTTTTTTAGAGGAATCTTCCAAGCTGATGCAACAATAGATCTTTAGACGAGGTAATATAACATCGAAATGGTTTCTTAAACTATAACAATAAAAATCAGGATCACAAATAGTTATATTGGCCTTGACTTCGGTGCGAAGACGAGAGCAAGGTCAATACCAAACAACTTTTGGATGGAAAATTTGTTTTTGAGGCGCGTTTAACGCTTATTTCACATTTCTTGATCACAAAGACTCAAACAGACTGTTCATGTTGACGATATGGATGTCAGGGAAGGTCACTGACCTGAATTGACCCCGATGGACCTTTGCTTTGAAGAACTTACTGCCTAGAGCATTTCTGGATGCCGTTTTTAAATGTTAATATGAAATTAATCTCGAATGGCTTTGTGCCACTTTTCCAGTTAAATGTAGATCAGGTAATTGAACTGAAATAACATTGTTTGACCTTTGGCTTGGAAATGGCATCTAGGTTGAAGTTGGATACGTGAGTAAGTATGACGGTACCTCCGAGACTATTTTAAGCCCAGCCTTGTTTAACCTTACTTGAGCCGAACTTTATGCGCTGGATATGTGAAAAAATCAACAGAAGCGAATTTGCATCAAATCTTGCTTTGCCTCATTAACTTGGTATTTCTAGCTCCTTCGGTTCGCGACAGCCAAGGGCTGAAATGGATGGCCCTGACGAGTTGCATTCTAGCGGCCAACAGAGGGCGTGTTAAAACTGTAGCCTTCTCAGATTACTTTTTCTTAGTGGGTGGCAGCATCTATCACAAGAGGGTCAGCCAGTAATGGCCATTCCGGTGTTGTGAGATTAAGAAAAGTGGGTGACAGTGGAGCAATACTGTATGCACCTGGGAACGCTCCGCCGAGAAGCAGCTCCCACAGCGACCACTATACGGTGCGTGGGCTGGGCGCTTGGGCGGGGCCGCCGCCAGGGGCTCTTAAGGCCACTCATCGCTGGCGCATGCGGCTTGCTCCTGATACATGGGGCGTCGCGGCGATGAGGACAAGGTGAGAATGAGGAAAGAATAGCTGGTGATCGTAAACTCGCGGTAATCTCCATCTGCTACCGTCAAGCCGGACGCTGAAGCGAGGCGGAGCCGCTCGGCGCCCTGCGACAGCCGGCCAGCACCGGGCGGTGCTCGACCCGGCTGGAAGCGGCCCATCCGCGCCGCCAGGCGCTAGCTGGTCCTAGATGCGATGTCCGACCGCGGTGCTTTGACGCGCGGTGCGTGTGACCCATACGTTCTGACGACTGGCGCAGAGGGGACCCGTCCGGTCGCTAGTCTCGTAGCCGTGTGTCCAACCGTCCGACCTCTAGACTCGCAGGCATGTGTCCAACCGTCCGACCCCTAGACTCGCAGGCATGTGCCCGACCGTCTGGCCGCTAGACTCACAGGCATGTACCCGACCGTCCGGCCGCTGGACTCGTAGCCGTGTGCCGGCCCGGTCGGCCGCTAGACCCGTAGCCATGTGCCCACCGTCCGGCCGCTGGACTCGTAGCCGTGTCCCGCCCGGCCGGCCCCCGCTCCTGGACGTTCGGCGTTGCCAACTTTGCTTTCTCCGCCTGGCTATGTGTGAGCTGCACTCGTCTTGCTCGGCTGCGCGGGGCGAGTGGCGTGGGCCATTTCTGCTAGTGCGGGGATCGTGTGGGATCGTGTGGGGTCGTGTGGGATCGTGTGGGATCGTGCGGGGTCGCGTGGATTATGCGGCGTCGTGTAGGCTCGCACCGGTCGTTTTCAGAGGTGCGACGCGAGGCTAGCGCACGGCAGAGGTGAGGCTCTTAAGCGCCGCTAGCCGGGGTTTTGATGCTGTGAGCGAGGTCGGCGGGCCCGCCCGATGGCTGTTCCGGCGGGTCAGCTCAGCTAGTACGCCGGGCTGAAGAAGTCGCCTAAGGGCGGGCTCTCTGCAGTAACGGTGTGCTCAAATGCAACGTTGACATCCTGCCGCCTTTCACCCGAAAATGAAAGTCGCGAAAAGAGACGTTTGCAATGTTGCGGCACCTGCTTCCAGTTCAATTTACCTGCAAATATTAATGTTATTGCATAGCGTGATTTCAATTGTCTTGCATTCAATGTTCATGATCATTACGTCATGACCGCTTTTAAGGATACATTTGAGCGGAACAACGGGGAACAAAAACATCACGGAATTTGGCCCGTGCGGATTGTTTTATTTGACAGATAAGTGTCTGTTGGCAACGATTCTAAGCCTCAAGAATGCTTTAGGAACTGAACCGCGGGAGTTTCAAATGATTGTAGGGAGGTTTAAGGTTCGGGGCCAGCAGTAGAACGTCACGACATCGCTCCGCGAATGTGCCCAAACTGCCCAGTGCTGCCTATGCATCTTCAAGTCTAATGAAAAATAAACACCGATCTCACTGTTGCTTGGGCAATAGCACGACAATGACAGTACACGTTTAAAAATTGTTTAAGTATAAAAAATATACGTCGAGGAAATTTAAGTTGGCTGTTGTTGTAAAATGTCTACTCTACTCTGGTCTCAGCTACGCTGGTCACTGAATGACTCCTTAGGCCCTCCGAGCTGACAGCGCCCTATGCCATGACATCTCACCTGACTGCTCTCCGTCCGCTTCAGCTCTTCGACGATCTCCTGGTGCTCGTCAATCAGCTTCTCCAGGTCGTCTAACCGCCGCGCAGCCTCTGACTGAAATGAGACCGACAGAGGGTCAGAGGAGCAACAGATGACAGGAGAGCGGTTAGACGGAGAGCAACAGATGACAGGAGAGCGGTTAGGTGGAGAGCAGCAGATGACAGGAGCGTGACAGATGACAGGAGAGCGACGGAGGTTCAGGGGAGCAACAGGTGACAGGAGCGTGACAGATGACAGGAGAGCGACAGAGGTTCAGGGGAGCAACAGATGACAGGAGAGCGACGGAGGTTCAGGGGAGCAACAGATGACAGGAGCGTGACAGATGACAGCAGAGCGACGGAGGTTCGGGGGAGCAACAGATGACAGGAGAGCGGTTAGGCGGAGAGCAGCAGATGACAGGAGCGTGACAGATGACAGGAGAGCGACGGAGGTTTAGGGGAGCAACAGATGACAGGAGCGTGACAGATGACAGGAGAGCGACGGAGGTTCAGGGGAGCAACAGATGACAGGAGAGCGACAGAGGTTCAGGGGAGCGACAGATGACAGGAGAGCGACGGAGGTTCAGGGGAGCAACAGATGACAGGAGAGCGGTTAGACGGAGAGCAGCAGATGACAGGAGCGTGACAGATGACAGGAGAGCGACGGAGGTTCAGGGGAGCAACAGATGACAGGAGAGCGACGGAGGTTCAGGGGAGCAACAGATGACAGGAGAGCGACGGAGGTTCAGGGGAGCAACAGATGACAGGAGAGCGACGGAGGTTCAGGGGAGCAACAGATGACAGGAGAGCGACAGAGGTTCAGGGGAGCAACAGATGACAGGAGAGCGACAGAGGTTCAGGGGAGCAATAGATGACAGGAGCGTGACAGATGACAGGAGAGCGACAGAGGTTCAGGGGAGCAACAGATGACAGGAGAGCGGTTAGACGGAGAGCAGCAGATGACAGGAGCGTGACAGATGACAGGAGAGCGACAGAGGTTCAGGGGAGCAACAGATGACAGGAGAGCGGTTAGACGGAGAGCAGCAGATGACAGGAGCGTGACAGATGAGAGGAGAGCGACAGAGGGTTAGAAGAGCAAAGGATGCCAGGAGAGGGACAGAGGGTCGGTCAGACCTCAGGCGGCCTATGTCAGTGAGCTACAACTGCATTTCGAGTTGGAGTCATGTCTTAGAGGGTCATACTATCGAAAGAGATGGTATTGATGGTTAGACGCCAGTGCGGATATATAATAAGACTGTCGAAAAGCATTGCTCTCTCGGTCGAATTTTAGGATGTGTTCGACCAGCCCGCATCCATCAATGATAAAGGCGATGTCCTACATAATTTTTTAGCTTTTATAGATTGTTACATTTGTTGGATGAGGGCCGGGTGGCAAAGATTCCAAACTGCGTCCAGTATATCCGGTGCGGAGCTCAGTGGGGGCTGTAGGCGTCACGGAGGGGATGGTAGCCAGTCGAGCAGACAGTAAGTGGGAGCTTCTGGTGGCCTGTTAGTGGGTGACGGTTAGACACGCGGACTGACGGACCAGCGGACGGCCGGATGGATGGACGAATATGCAGCTGGACGGGTGGACGCACGTCCTTCCCAGGGTCCGTTCGTCGGCAGTCAGACACGGTTTCATCTAGCAGAAATCCCTTCGGGATGGAGACGAAGCTGCCACGCAGAAATCGCTCTGAAGGATCACTACGGGATGTCGGCGCGTGATGCACCGAAACTAACGTAATTAACGCCGGTCCTACGGAGGGCGGACGATAAAGGATGCATGGTAGCATGCTTATGTGGCCATCTCGAACCGGCTTGGACGGATGGAAAAATCTCAAAAGATATTTGTACAGACGGCACGCATAAACAGTGTCCTACACCACCCAGATGTTACGTCCAAAAATGGGTCGTACGCAGCATGCATCTGTCTGCCCAGTCAGAGCCATCGCAGTGGCGATTAGGCCCATCGATCCTTGTCACCCCGTGGACGGTATGCGAATCAGACGTGAACGCTGCGTCTCCGCCCCACAGTCGCTCCGTGACCGCTGCGTCTCCGCCCCACAGTCACTCTGTGACCGCTGTGTCTCCGCCTCACAGTCACTCTGTGACCGCTGCGTCTCCGCCCCACAGTCACTCTGTGACCGCTGCGTCTCCGCCCCACAGTCACTCTGTGACCGCTGCGTCTCCGCCCCGCAGTCACTCTGTGACCGCTGCGTCTCCGCCCCACAGTCACTCCGTGACCGCTGCGTCTCCGCCCCACAGTCACTCCGTGACCGCTGCGCCTGTCCGCCCCACAGTCACTCCGTGACCGCTGCGCGTGTCCGCCCCACAGTCACTCCGTGACCGCTGCGTCTCCGCCCCACAGTCACTCCTTGTCCGCTGCGGCGTCACCTTCATCTGTGTCAGTTTGGCTCGGCTGCCGTCGCTGGCGTCGCTCCGAGGCTCGTCGTCCAGGGCCGGCATGGTGACCACTTGATCCACGACATTGCTGAAACGACAGGGCCATGTGAGCGAGCCAGCTCGGTGCAGTTCGCTATTCTCCCGAGGGTATGTCGGCAGACTGGCGCAAGGATCGGCTTCGTGAGGCCACAGCGGAACGGTAGCGTATGCTCGGTGGCCAGCGAGATTGCCAACTGGATGTTCTCATTTGGACATGATCGGAGTGAGATCCACACTGAGCCGACCACGTTTCGTCCGGGAAGCCCGTACAACGCAGTACATAGTGGCTAGCGCTTTGGCTAGGCATGCCTGTGAGACGAGCGCACAAGTCGAGGAGCTTTCGCGCGCATGCGAAGCAAATGACGAGGCAACAAATCAAAACAGGTGCTAACGTCTCTGGTCTTCCGGGTATTCTATTTGTTTGCTACGCAACCGCTTCTTCCATTTTTACATTCACTCAGACACGCGCAAAACGCCTCTTACGCTGTCTGCCCAGCACTCCGTGGGCTTCGTGTGTCGCTGTTGTAGCGCTTCCTCAACTGCGTTTAAGCGTGGCAGGATTTTACCTGTCCAGCCACATGAATTGCTTGCTGTGGTGGTAATAGGATCAAAGCTGAGAGATCAGAGCAAGAGAGCCGGAACTAGAGATAAGAGCAGTGGTGATCAGAGTTCAGAGACCAAAGCAATGGTGATGGGATCAGAGCTCAGAGATCAGATCAGTGGTGATGGGACCAGAGCTCAGAGACCAGAGCAGTGGTTATGGGATCAGAGCTCAGAGATCAGAGCAGTGGTGATATGATCCGTTTGACTCCTCCACCAGCGTGGTCCGGTGAAGACGAGCTGTGTGACGAGAGACGGATGAGTCGCCCGCAGCAGTGAGGACCGTCGGTTGTTATCATTTAAGTGATGCCAGAAACTGAGGTAATCGAGCCAGGTACCTTCGGCAAACGGTAGCATGTTTTTTATGAATTACTTGGAAAGCTTAACTTTCCTGAGGGTGTGTTGGGCAAAAGTTCGCCGGTGCGGCATGTGAACAAATAGACAAATAATGTCGTCGGGAAACGCCCGGCAATGAACTAAGTCAACCTATGCAATCTTGCACTTGGTACTGCTGAGTGTAACTTCAAATAGCGGATTGAGTCTAGTTAATCTAGTTGCTGTTAAGGTTGAGATAATTTTGCGTTAAGAAATGCCTTTGCAATAGTTTGCGATTTTTGGCTCTTCCGACCAGAGCATTACAAAAAATAATATTTTGGGCACCTATTCTTCACAACAAGCGGGCCTTCACAGCTCCTTAGTATTCGCAGTCCAGCTTACATCGTAAGTCCGGTCACATCGCAATATTTTCGAGATCAGTTTCCAAAAAGGTGGCATTGCTCGCATACCGGTCGATTACTGACTCATCGATAAATCGGTAGTTTTACAATTTGGTAATGATTTTATCGGCAAACCAACCCATCGTGTAGTTGGTTTCTTTCTATTGCTCTGGTTGTCTAGACCTGCAATCAATCCTTAAAACCTCCAAAAATGGGCGGTTCTTATCTCGTGCACAATTGCGCGTGCTAATCTCCACATATCCACCCGGACTTTTGAAAGCACGACCGCCCATTTTCTTCGTTGGTACCGGTAAGCCTGTGTCTGCGCGACGTACGGGTCGTCAAAATCTAGATTTAGTTTCGATCCATGGTTTTCAGTATTTTTTAGTTTGCCATTTTGCTTTTCAATGTTAGCTGAACAGTGGAGGCGACACCGTAGCGATATTGCAGGAAAAACCAGACTGATCACACTGTAAATAATTGCCTACATATCATATAGCAGACCTTTTGGGCCATTCCACTGACTGCCGCTCAAAACTGCGTCCACTTGTAATCATGAATTGCGAATTTCTTAGCTTCTAGACAGCGTGGCGGCTAGGTGGGGCCAGGAAGCCGAAATTGAGAGATTTCTCATAGTTCGAATATGTACGCTCGAGGTCTCACTCGTAAATACTCTACCCTGGCCTACAAAACTCTGGATGACTAGGAGAGTCAGTACATCTCGTTCATTTTAATATGCATTCCAAGAAAAGCTTTTTTTTGTTCGATTTAAGTAAAAAGCAAAAATCAGCATACACAAACGGGCTTACTTCTTCCAAACTATATTCTGCAATTTTCAATCGATTCCAATTCTCTTTCACCGATCGACTTTCCCATCCAATCTAATTCTATACGTGTCGATGTTTCATTGATCGAGCTTAGTCGATCTAGTCAGTCCAATGTGTGGGAATTGTCCACTCCAAGCTATCTAATAATCCATAATTTGCGTATGCATCTGATCTTTGGAAGACCTCCATACTGAGCGCTGGAACGCATTTGAGCCTGACTCTACTAGCTTCATGCACACCCACACCCACACCCACACCCACACACCCACACACCCACACACCCACACACACCCACACCCACACCCACACCCACACACACACCCACACACACACACACACACACACATACATACACATATATATATATATATATATATACATACACATATGTATATATATATATATATATATACATACATATATGTATATATATATATATATATATATATATATATATATATATATATATATATAGATACCGAACAAAGCACCGCAGCATGCCTATAAACTGAATGATAATGATGCTTTGAACCCTTCCGTCGACACTTCATTCAGCACTTACTACCTGAGATAAACATTGTATGTACCCCAGAAGTCTTTTCTTGGGCCTCATATAGCATGCTGCGAGTGGTATTAAATTTGCATTGTAGCAATAATATTTGAATACATTTTCTGAGAAGTGGTGGAGAACCATTTGTAACTGCGCCTGAAAATTGCAGGCGCGTGACATCTTCGGAGAGCTATGACTGTCCTTCCCTACCTGAAATATTGCTCTGGCATTTGACCACGATCGATCCGCTAGAATGAAGGCGTGCTGAGGAGAGAAGTGGGAACGGAAGGCCCTATTCGAAACACTAATGGGCAAGACAAGCGTCATTATGCTACATGGTGGCGCAAACAACTAAGGTAGTTGACACTTCCTAAAGCCACGTTCAATGGTGGGCAAAAAGTTACGTGGATAGCTTGTGTAGGCTTTTAGTCAGCTGATACAGCAGGCAGTGTGCTTCCCTGAATCGCAAGCAGCCGCATTTCGTGAAGCTCGTTGGCTGGCCTCATCGGCTGGGCTTCGCTTGGAAACAGACGTCACGCTACTAAATACATGATGATGACTCCCGCAGACAGGACAGTCAGCCAGCTCCGGAGTCTGCTGACTCGCCCCCGCCCGCCCCTCGGGAAGAGTGCATGATGCTCCAGGGAGCGTTATCAACGGCTAGCTCTGATTTGACGCCGGCGAGTCTGGTCGCTGCCAGCTCAGACTGGCAACTGTGTGCCATGTCCGGTAACGGCCCGGTAATCTGGGCCAGCGGTGTATATTTCGTCCTGGTCAAAACGCCACTGACGCCATGTCAAGTGGATAAAGTAAGGAGCTTAACTGATCCGCTGGGCTATAACGTTCTGAGCAGGAGTGCAACTTTTCTCATTGCCTTGGCATCAGAGACATGACAAATGCCTTGTAAGATTTTAACAACGGATCACATAATTGAGCTGGAGCTGTGCGGTAGCAATTACGATGTATGGCATGCCTCTGTATAGTTGCGTGCTTTGTCCTGGAATATTAAAATATGAGTGGGGTTCTAAAGGGTTTTAAAATATGTCTCAAGCATTTATTCAAGTGTCTACACTCTCTCCGAAACCTTTTTGAGGCTATTCCTTTTATTCGCGGTGGGCGAGATATTTCCGCCTAACAAGGTTTCATTCGGACCGGCGTTGCCTTTCATCGCGGATGAACAAGGTTTGCGTGGGGCGTTGGAGGATAAGAAACCTTTCCCAAAACTCGTGAACGTAGAGAGCTGTGAAAATGTGCACGATACGAGACGCTCGCATCACCCACAGTCGTCGCGTAGCGAAACGCGAACTTCTCCGGGAATTTCATGGGCTGTTTTCACTTTCATTATCAAGAAGCGCTTGCAAGGAGCTTGGGTTTTTTTAACCAAGAGCATACGAGCATGCCCAACCCGCGACTTACATAGGCACGGTGGCGCCATCAGTGCTAGTTGCTGGAAACTGATCTACTTTCATACAGTTCAGACAAGATAATTGGTGAATTTCGTATCTGTGCCTGCGTTTCCAATGTCTTACTCGTCACATGTCGAATATTGGAAATTGTCTGCTGGAAACGAATAAATAAATGATAGCATTAGTAAAAAGGAAGCTATATTCGTTTATCTACACAAACTACACCACTGCTTCCTCTTTCCCATATCACACTTAAAAGAGCACTTGGTGGTACTTTAATAAAGCCAACACCAATGTAGGCACGACGACGATAGTGAACTCGAGGTTCGAGTGAGTAAATGATCCTTGTGACCCAGATGCATGGAATACATGAACTGCTTTGTTTTATATAGTTACGTTTTCGCATTGTACCTTACGACAGCGACACCACGGGCAGATGGTCTGAATGGCGGGGGATGAAATGGGCTGCTGAAGATCACGGCTGCACGGCCATTACCTATTCCTTGCACGAACTCTGCAGCCGTAATGCTCAATTGAGGAATCAATATTGTTGGAGAAATGGACCCTGCAAGGGGTTTCACCGTGGTACCTTACAAAAATGAACCTTTTTGTCCAGCACATGACTGACCGTTGCACATGTGACGGCTTGGTGTTCAACGCATTCAACAATCCTCAACTTGAACATTTGGAGCAGCCCAGCACCACCAAACACGCAGCGTACAAAATATCGTGAGCGACGATAAGCAGATATAGACATTGGACTGTGGCAATAGCAGGGCACTGTTGCTTATTACTAAAGAGGTACAGGCTCACGAGACAACTAAATCCACCGGATCCACGGGCGCAACGGAGTGCGATAGGGCCATCCCATTCCATAGAGTGCGATAGGGCCATCCCCTTCCATAGAGTGCAATAGGGCCATCCCCTTCCAAAGAGTGCGGTAGGGCCAT